TACTTTGTACTGCAAGGCTTGCACAAGGAACTCCCCAGTACTACTGTGTATTGCAATGCTTGCAGAAAGTATTTCCCAGTACTACTTTGTACTGCAAAGCTTGCGCAAAGTACTTCCCAGTACTACTTTGTACTACAAAGCGTGCGCAAGGCACATCCCAGTACTACACTGCACTTCATTCACACTTCAGACTTCAGACTTCACATTTCACACTTCACACCCACACTCCACACTCCACACTTCACACTTCACTTCAAACTTCAAAACTTCAAACTCCACTCTCCACACTTCATACCTGAAAAACTACACTAACTACACTAACTACACTAACTACACACTTCACTACACACTTCACTTCACTTCACTCTCCACACTTCACACTTCACACTTCACACTCCACAATTCACACTTCACACTCCTCACAACACACTCCACACTTCACACTACACACTCCACACATCACACTCAACATTTCACACTCCACACTCCACACTTCACACTTCACACTGCACACTTCACACTTCACACTCCACACTTCACACTCCCCCACTCTCCACTCCACACTCCACACTCCAAACTGCACACTTCACACTTCACTTCAAACTCCACGCTCCATACTTCACACTGCACGCCTGACACTACGCACTTCACACTTCACTTCACGCTCCACACTTCACACTTCACACTCCACACCCCACACTTCACACTGCTTACTCCACACTTCACAGTTCCCACATCACACTCCACACTCCACGATTCACACTCCACACTCCACACTTCACACTTCAAACTCCACACTACACACTACACACTCACCACTTCACACTTCACACTCCACACTTCACACTCTCCACTCCACACACTCCACACTCCACACTTCACTTCACACGCCACACTCCACACTCCACGCTTCACACTTCAGACTTCACACTGCGCACTCCACACTTCACACTGCTTACTCCACACTTCACACTTCACACTTCCCACATCACACTCCACACTCCACACTCCACCCTGCACACTTCACACTGCACACCCCACACTTCACACTCAACACTTCACACTCTCCACTCCACACTCTGCACTTCACACTTCACGCTCTCCACTCTCCACTCCACGCTCTGCACTCCACACTCCACGCTTCACACTTCACACTGCTTACTCCACACTTCACACTCTCCACTCCACACTCTGCAACTTCACACTCCACACTTCACACGCCACACCCCACACTTCACACGTCATACTTCCCCAGACACCTCACACTCCACGCTTCACTTCACTTCACACTCCACATTTGACATTGCACACTTGAAACTGCACACCTGGCACTGCACACTTCACACTTCACACTCCACACTGCACATTTCACGCACAACACATAACCTTTTCTCACTTTCCCCATAGACAGCGCGACGACGGCATTAGGAAACCCCAAAACAACTTTCGCCCGAGTGCCACAAAGTCCCACGCCTGCCACGCGACATGTACTTTCACACGTCACAACACATCACCTTTTCTCACTTTCCTCATGGACAACGCGAGAGAACCGCGAAGCAACTTTCGCCTGACTGCCACAAAGCCCCACGCCTGCCACGCGAAATGCACTTTCACACGTTGCAACACATGACCTTTTTTCACTTTCCCCATAGACAGTGCGACGACGCGATTAGAAAAAAAAGATCCAAAACGACGAGCAAACAGTCCACCACCCCCAGACCCCCAAGAAAGAAAACAAGAACCCTTGGCTACGCATTCGGGAACATACGGTCTAAAAACTAACGTTCCTGCTTCTGTGCAAATCCCACATGTTTGCGAACCGGATCCCTTATTTGTTGGATTTGTTGGTTAGATCCTTAATGATCCTTATTTGTTGGCTAGATCCCTACTTTACATAATTATATCAATTATATTGTGGGTTTAAATTGAATCCGGTTTTGCTTTTCTTGGGCATAATCTCAGCTTCTTCTTTCTGTCGAACAGTCGTTGGAAAGACTTTCGAAAGCGTCCCATGAAAGAAATGGCGCCTCCCATGAGCAACGAACGGCCTCTCGGGCGTGTGCTATCGACCTGGCCATGGAATGATGGACTGATCCAACATCCTATACCATCCCTACTTGGGGCTTCACCGTAGGTTAACCTATACTAAGCCATGGTCATCCATAAGGACTGCCCCCCCGCCCCGAAATCTCCATTTGATGCCTTTTAATTTTTTGGTCAAACAAGATTGCTATATTGATTGGATAATTTGATAGTATATGAAAAACTGTTTGATCCTTTAATGATTTCGCTGATGTGTTAAACTAGACTATTTTTATTTCAAAGAATTATCAATCAAAGAAATAGTAATGATTGATAGGGGATCTGGTTGTTTGGTTAATTCAGTGATGAATTCACTGTTTAAATCCCAGCAGCACCCTGATCAGTTGGAAACCCCAGTCGTCAACGACTACAACCCAAGTATACGCCAGCAACAGTCAAATAAATCGAGTGGTTAAATCAGAATATTTGCAGTAGTTTGCGGTTTGGGGTTGGCAAGTTTGCTGATACAATATCAATATCGAGTCAAACAAGAAATGGTGTAATGATTATAGAACAATCACTGCAACATACATAACAATACAAATTGTAATTACAAATAGTCATAACAACGATATTTAGAAAAGACAGCAATGGAAATCAACAAAAAATAGTAATAACAATAGAAATCATAAATAATAACAATAATGATAATAATGAATGAATACATATATCGTATCTATGTCAAGAATTGGATTAAGGGCCCCAAACATAGTTTCACAACGTATCTCTCTGAGGTTCAACCTGTACCTTTGTTTTCAGGAAAATCAGGAACCTTCAACAACGGATCATTCGATGAAGGATTCAACCAATGGTTAAAAGTCTAATATCGTATTTAAAACATTGTCAATATTTAGGATTTGACTGTATAGGACTAAATACAGGCTGCAAAAAATGGTTCTGGGTTCAACTAGTAAGTTTATGTAATTTTCTGTATGAAAGCATCCATTTCAGGGGGTTGACATGGTCAATATGGGTTTGCCCGAAGTTGGGCAACGGTTAACATTAGGGAAAAGGCGTGTCTGAGCCACTGAATTTTGGGGCACACATTTTTTGCACAAACCAGCCTGGATATTGATGTAGTGGTTGATAATATTAATTGGGGGACCAATAATGGTGAGAAAAATTATATAGGCTACAGATACCCGCAGTCTGTCAACTGTCAACGACAGTATCTCTTGGCTGGGCTCCGCCCAGTGAAATTCCATGAGCCCCTGGCACAATGAGAACAACATAGAACAGTTAGTTTGCCGTCAACATCGTTGTCAAAGTTACTGGATGATTGTTCAACTACCATGGTATTGTCATTCTCTTGTCAATGTATTGCAGTATATTTTGTTTACCATATACGACAGCAGCAAAGAATATCAATATTCACCATTGCTATTTTTGTTACTTGTCTCGGCTTAGAGAAAGCTCTCCCAAACTCCATCTGTTTGATGATCAAGCTTCAACCCTCCGGCAATCTAACCTACTGTGAAATCCCTCATGAAAACGTATCCGTTTTTCCCACCTGCCAGGTGAGGGTTGTTAGATGTTATCAGAGTTGTTCTTCTCCTCTTCCTCCTCCTCCTTCCTCCTCCTTCTCCTCCTTCTCCTCCTCTTCTACCACCTCTGCCTCCACTTCCACGTCCACTGTTGCCTTGCCAACTCTTGGCCAAGCTCTTCGCCAACTTCCGAGCTCAGTGCGCACTGCTGGACCTCAACCTGGGACCTTCCCAGCTCAGTGCGCACCGCTGGACCTCAACCTGGGACCTTCCTAGCTCAGTGCGCACCGCTGGACCTCAACCTGGGACCTGCCGAGCTCAGTGCGCACCGCTGGACCTCAACCTGGGGCCTTCCGAGTTCAGTGCGCACCGCTGGACCTCAAAAGCCAGATAGAATGCAAGAAGATATGCCAGATAGAATGTCAGATAGAATGCGAGAAGATATGCCAGATAAAATGCCATAAGATTTTCCACATGATATGCCAGAAGATATGCCAGATAGAATGTTAGAAGATATGCCAGATAGAATGCCAGAAGGTATGCCAGATAGAATGCCACATAAAATGTCAGATAGAATGCCAGAAGATATGCCAGATAAAGTGCCAGAATGTTTGCCAGATAGAATGCCAGAAGATTTGCCAGATGATATGCCAGAAGATATGCCAGATAGAATGCCAGATGGATTGCCAGAAGATATGCCAGAACATCTGCCAGAAGATATGCCAGGTAGAATGCCAGAAGATATGCCAGATAGAATGCCAGAAGATATGTCAGATAAAATGCCATAAGATTTGCCAGATGATATGCCAGAAGATATGCCAGATAGAATGTTAGAAGATATGCCAGATAGAATGCCAGAAGGTATGCCAGATAGAATGCCAGATGAAATGTCAGATAGAATGCCAGAAGATATGCCAGATAAAGTGCCAGAATGTTTGCCAGATAGAATGCCAGAAGATATGCCAGATAGAGTGCCAGAAGATATGCCAGAACATATTGCAGAAGATATGCCAGGTAGAATGCCAGAAGATATGCCAGATAAAATGCCAGAAGATATGTCAGATAGAATGTCAGAAGATTTGCCAGTAACAAAACGTATAAATGTCATGGTGGGGATAACTCGAAGTATTTTTTTGTATATATGATACATTATCACCCATCCTTCCCCCGTAAACAAACAAAGACCGGGATTTACATATATTTACATAGTAGATAATAATTGGCTATTATGAGTCAAAACCCTGGGACCCTAGGTAATTGTAAGTAATAGCTGGTATAGCTGGATGTTGATTCCCTCAGTCAAATATATATATATAGATAGATAGTAATTTCATACTTGAATGGACCCATTTAGCCAATTTAGCGATAAAACCAGAGGGCCTCCCACCCGCATCGCATCGCCTTCTCCGCTTCGTCCTCGGAGTACCGCATGGCTTACCGACGAACCATCGGCCACTCGTCTTCGTCGTCGTCGTCATTCCGCCAATGCTGCTCACTGACGAAGGCTTTCAACGTCTCCTGAGGATTCTCCTTGGATTGCGCGGATTGGAGGAGTGGGGCCCATAAGGAACGCATCCAAGGAGAATCATTTGAAACCTGGGCAATCCTGTCCGTTTTGAAGTTGATTTGAGCCATCGCTTGGAAATTGCCACTTGGATCATGGAGCCCGGGGCCAGTGGTTCAAAGAACGTTCACCTTCAGTGGCAAGTCATGAGGGCTGTACATTTGGTCATGTTTAGTCTAACAAAATTTGCTACACAATAGCTGCGCCATTGACCATTTCCAATATTTTTTTGGTCTGCATCAGGCTCTACCACATAATGAGCCACAGCATTCAAAGGACCGGACAACCCCACATGTCAACTTCTTCCAATAAGCAGCCAAAGAAAGGTGAAGATGGGATGGGAAAGGCAGGAAAGAGAAAAGAGATGGTGAACGATCGGCGTGTGCAAAAAAATGTATGTCAAAGAGGTGCGTGAAACGAGTGTATGCAATAGTGTGTAGAAGTGGGGTGTATGTGTGTGTGTGTGATAGAATCGTGCGTGAAAGTGCGTGTGTATGTGTATGCATGTGTGTACGTGTGCGTTGCTTGGTCACCTAAATGCAATGTGCTATGTGTGCATGTGTACGTGTGCGTGTATATGTGTGTGAACTGCCGAACCAGAAAAGAATCAAGTCCTCAACTTCTTCCAGTAAGTCGCCAAAGAAAGGTGAAGTGGGATGAGAAAAGGATTCTGCGTACAAATATTGCATTGGAAAGTGTGTTTCCAAGAACTATGTATGTAGGTACGTATGTACGTACTTACGTACTTACGTACGTACTTACGTACGTACTTACGTACGCATGCATGCATGCATGCATGCATGCATGCATGCATGCATGTATGTATGTATGTATGTATGCGTGTACAAGTATTGCGTGGGCAAGAGTGTGTCAAAGAATTGCGTGTGAAAGATTTGTGTGGGACAGATTTGTGTGTGTGTACAGGTGCGGTGTAAGAACGTACTGTGTGTAAAATGTTGTATGTACAAGTGTTGTGGATAAGTGGTGGGTGATCATGTTATGTAGCCAAAACCGGTATACCAACACCATGAGTAGAGGTGAATGGCAACGGCCGGTTGCACAAGAGTGCAGCAAGGCAAACAAGTGCCATGCCTGCCACGCAAAGTGGAGGTCCATGTCGCCAAGCGCCACGCCTGCCACCCAAACAGCCACGTCGACCACGGTGCCAAACGGGGCCCAAGCGCGCCACCAGAGCCAGCCCAGTGCCATAAGTGCCATGCGTGCCACGCAAAGTGACGGTCGATGTCGCCAAGTGCCACGCCTGCCAGGCAAAGTGAAGGCCGATGTCGCCATGTGCCACGGCCGCCACGCAAAGTGAAGGTCGATGTCGCCATGCGACACGCCTGCCACGCAAAGTGACAGTCGATGTCGCCAAGTACAACACCTGCCACGCAAAGTGACGGTCGATGTCGCCAAGTGCCACGCCTGCCAGGCAAAGTGAAGGCCGATGTCGCCATGTGCCACGGCCGCCACGCAAAGTGAAGGTCGATGTCGCCATGCGCCACGCCTGCCACGCAAAGTGACAGTCGATGTCGCCAAGTACAACACCTGCCACGCAAAGTGACGGTCGATGTCGCCAAGTACCACGCCTGCCACGCAAATTGAAGGTCGATGTCGCCAAGTGCTACACCTGCCACGCAAAGTGAAGGTCGATGTCGCCAAGTGCCAGGTGCCAAGTTGTGTGTGAGCAAGTTGTGTGCGAGCATGTTGTGTGTGGACAAGTTGTGTGTGTGTGTGAGTAAGTTGTGTGTGTGGACAAGTTGTGTGTGATGAAGTTGTGTGTGTGTGGGGAAGTTCTGTGTGAGAGAGTTGTGTCTGGGGAAATTGCGTGTGTGTGAGGAAGTCGTGTGTGAGTAAGTTATGTGTGAGGAAGTTGTGTGAGGACAAGTTGCGTGAGGACAAGTTGTGTGAGGACAAGTTGTGTGTGTGTGAGTAAGTTGTGTGAGGACAAGTTGTGTGTGGACAAGTTGTGTGTGTGTGTGAGTAAGTTGTGTGTGAGGAAGTTGTTTGTGGACAAGTTGTGTGTGTGTGAGGAAGTTGTGTGTGAGTAAGTTGTGCGTGAGGAAGTTGTGTGAGGACAAGTTGTGTGTGGGTAAGTGGTGTGTGTGTGTGAAAATTGTGTGAGGACAAGTTGTGTGTGGACAAGTTGTGTGTGAGTAAGTTGTGTGTGAGGAAGTGTGTGGACAAGTTGTGTGTGTGTGAGTAAGTTGTGTGTGAGGAAGTTGTGTGTGAGTAAGTGGTGGGTGTGAAAGTTGTGTGAGGACAAGTTGTGTGTGGACAAGTTGTGTGTGCGTGTGTGAGTAAGTTGTGTGTGAGGAAGTGTGTGAGGACAAGTTGTGTGTGAGTAAGTGGTGGGTGTGAAAGTTGTGTGAGGACAAGTTGTGTGTGGACAAGTTGTGTGTGTGTGTGTGAGTAAGTTGTGTGTGTGTGTGAAAGTTGTGTGTGAGGAGGCGGGGGGAGGCGGAGGCGGCGGAGGAGGAAGGAGGCAGCGCGGGAGTGCCCAACCAAAAACATGGAGCTTTCCAGGGGAAAGGCTGCCAAGGGACGACCGCTTCAAACCAGTGGTGGTCCAAAGCATCTACCGCAGAGGGAAGGTCATAGGCATCTCTCTGCAGAAGCCAGCGAATCAAATGGCACCCGTCATCAGATTTGCCTCAAGCGGCTCGCAACGGCTCGCAATCTTCAAGAAAGGCGCGCAACTTGTTGAAAATTGGGGGAGACTGTACCACAGTGTAACACTGCAACTCAATTGTTTGTGCCACTTCTTAAGGGGGGAATGATGAACCGTTGGATGGGCTCTAAAAATATGGTCCCTTGTTTCCCAACATTTCCAAGCAAACCTGCAGATGACATCCCACCAAATTTGAGGTAGAAACTCACGCTGGGAACCCCGTGCACTAGAAGATGTCTCCCGTGCTCGTAGACAATGGCTTGGTGGATTCAGTCGGCAAAGGCTGGGTCTATATATGGTTGCCTGAACATACAAATTTGGTTTGTCAAAAAATGTTTTTTTGATTAGAAAAATGATGATCATCCTTGGAAATTGGAGTGCCCCGTCGGCCCCGTGCTCAACTATCATTCATTTCAATTCATTTCCAAAAATCAGTATGATTACATCTCTAGAAACACCACGTGACATATCCCTATACTGAAAGCATAAACCATGACTTCGGACTATAACTAATATCATCAGTCACGATGAAACACGCAATTTGCCCATGGTCCAAAGCGCTGCCTCAACCTGGAACTTTCAACTGCTGCAGGGTGCGATCCATGCTTCTTCGGGGTATCTCAGTTCCCTGCTGGATCAAAACTTAGTTACCCATGGAATCCCATGGAATCCCATGGATGTTGGGTATATGTGGTGTGTTTTCACTCAATGTTGTAGTGTTGTGTTTTGGGAGGTTTTTTGTACAGGTCTTTGCTGATCATTTTTGGACCCTCCCAGAAAGCATCCCTTCGTCCCTTCGTCCATTCGTCCCTTGCACGTTGGGAGACCTGCGGGTCTTCCACATGGGATCAGCGGTAGATCCCCCAAGCGCGTGGCGATGTCGCTTTGGATCTTCGTCTCTTTCACAAAGGCAAAGGTCCGGAAGAGTAACTGGTACAACACCGCCCCGAGCGCAAACCTTGGGATGATGAAATGGGATGATAGGACATTGTCCACCTTTGTTGACATGGATACAACAAGAAATGGGAATAACAAGAACCATTGAACCATAATACCTTCCCAGTGGATATAGTACAGTAGCATCTAGAGAAGTATTGACCCATGTTGACCCCTTATCCCAGAAGAAAATTGCCATATGATGATCCATCATCAAACATCATCAAACATCATCAAACATCTCCAACTGATCAGGGTTTGTTGAGAACGGGATTCCTATGATTAATGGGTCATGAGCCATGACCGAAGGACGTTTAGAAGTCAAACTTCCGACAGTGTGCACAGATAGAAAAGCAGAGGTGGGAAGAGTCAGAGAAGAGAAGAGAAGAGAAGGGAAGGGAAGGGAAGGGAAGGGAAGAGAAGAGAAGAGACGAGACGAGAGGAGAGGAGAAGAGAAGAGAAGAGAAGAAGAAAGAAGACCAGAAGAGAAAGAGTCAGAGGAAAGAAGATGCAGGTGTGCGAAAAGGTAGAAAAGCCGGGAGACCCTGTGTTTTTCCAATGTCTCCTGGCTTCGGAGGGTCGAAAAATAGGCTGGCTAAAGCGGCGGGTGCGGAGCCATATGGGGAGATGAGAGATGAAAAATTGCAGGCCGTTTTGAAGTCGAGCTGTTGAAAAAGTGCACGCCGTTGTGGCGCGAAGCACGTTTCGAAGTCAAAACTGTGAAAAGCAGTCGGGTTCGGAGCACTTTTGGAAGTTGAGCTGTTGAAAATTCAAAGTGCACGGCGCTGGGGCGCGAAGCACATTTCGAAGTCAAAATGGTAAAAGCACAATAAAAACACCACATGTCGGACCATTTTTGGACGTTGAACCGTCGTTGTGGCAGGTGCAACGGGTTCTGCACCTTGCCAAAAGAGAGCAAGACGTGAGGGTTTTGTAGCAGTTTCAAAAGCGTTGGCAGCCATGGGACATTTGAAGAAGATCTGCAAAGATGAATTTCGCGCGGCAGGCGCAGTACAAGAGACATGTTCATCAGAGATGTTAGGAGGTCAGCGTGCTGATTTCCTGACAAGGGGTTGCATTTTGGAGCATCAGATCTTCAGGTTTGCTAAGATGATTTTGTGTGACAGGCGCAGCACTTCGTATGACATGGCCTCACTTTTTCGTGGCAGGCACAATACTTTAAACAGATGGAGCGGAAACATTGGAAACCGCATTGGTACGAGGCCATCAGCTCTGCACTCAACTCTCCATGTTTGAAGGAAGTCTTGCAGAATTGCTTCGTTTTCAAGCTTGCAGGTGGGCAGATAAACAGATAGATAGAGAGCCAGATCGACAGATAGATAGACAGATAGTTAAACAGATTGATAGGCAGATAGTGAGAAAGACAATAGACAGACGGGTAGATAGATAGAAAGACAGAATTGACATTTTGAAAGATAAATAGATAGCCAGGTGGACAGATAGATAGACAGATAGATATAGACAGACAGATAGATATAGACAGACAGATAGATAGATAGACAGGCAGATAGACAGACAGATAGACAGATAGAGAGACAGACAGGCACATAGACAAATAGATAGGCAGATAGGTAATTAGATAGATAGACAGACAGATAGATAGATAAATAGGTCGATAGACAGATAGACAGAGAGAGAGAGAGAGACAGACAGACAGACAGACAGACAGACGGACAGATAGATAGCCCGACACTCCAACCACCTTTTGATCCATCAGAGGGTTCGATCTGCCATCCATGATTCACAACAGCCAACCTCTCCTATAGGTTTCCTATCTTTGAAACTTCCGCCACTGCCTTGTGCTGTACTACTTGTAACCCCCAATAAACCCGGTAGTTTTTCACGCCGTAGAATAACCGCAATATTGTTTCGCTTAGATGATGGGCAAGTGCCAGACATTGCCTGGAAGGAGGAACAGGGGCCACAATCTGTACCACAAAAAGCACGACTAAATAATGCTATTGGGAAGATGCTATTGGGAAGATACTGGCTGTGTCCAAGGTAAGTGTTTCTGATGTTGTTCTCCTGCAATATTCTAGATTCTAGATAAATGGGGGATACCTGGGATCCTTTGCTGTGTCTCTGGGGCTGGCAAACTGTAGGTGCAGAACCAGCCCAAAAGAAAAGAGCCAATACACAGGACCAACAAAAACAACTATCCAAATAGGTAGATTGTTCCTTCAAAGTTGCATATTCAAAGTTGCATATTAGTGTTTGCCAAGCGACAAGTCAGATTTTTCGCAGAATTCATTCTTCTCCAAGCATTCCGGGGCTAGGAAACCATGGGTGCCACAGCCATTCCTGGACACCGTGTTTGTCTCCACTTCCAGGAAAGCTGCCAATCCAAAGTCTCCTGGCAGGGGCATGGATCAGAATCACCAAAATCTATGGGAAAAAAGGGCGGCATGCTTTTGACGACTACTCTGATGTAGCCACTTCAACACTGCAAGCTTTGAAATTGTGAAATTGCTGTAAACACGCCAAGATCTAGTACAGTATGGAAAATATATGAAAATATGTCTGTCCGTCGACCTTTTTCGGAACTGACTCCTAACAAGACCTTCTCACCACCACTTCCCACCAGGATGTTAGCTGGTTTAACATCTCGGTGCACAATTCCACGAGCGTGGAGATGGGACAGTGCAGAAAGCACAGAGCGACAAACAAAAGCGGCTTCCGACTCGGTGTAGCGGAAGAACGCAAAGTCCTGTGCGATGGGCCGATCTTTTCCGGCCAAAGCTGGGCAGCTTCGCTGTAAAAGGTATTGGGGCTGCCCCGTGTTGAATGTTTTGTGGTCCAAATGAAAAAACGATGAGAATTCCGTCCCTTTGGTTAAACTCAAATAAACCAAATTGGGATTCCAATTTACAATCCATCCCACCAGGGTTTCGATAGGGTGTATTCAGATCATGGCAGATAAGTTGCAACCCTACTGCCTGGGATGATCCCTGTAGTCTTTATTGGGATGGACAGAACAGGAACCTTCACGACAGTAACAGCCAAAAGAAATATAGTTATTATCCCCCCCAGGTGAGGTTCTCTAGATTTTATCAGAGTGACTTGCCTCCAGATCTCAGTGGGCACTTTGCGACGACTGTGGGCCTGGACCTGGTGCCACATCGCGAAGCTGTGGAAGGATGGTGTGGCGTTAAACACATGCCAGAGAGATTGCCAACGAGAATGCCAGGAATAGATGCCACATACAAGTAGAATGCCAGAAAGAATGTCAGACTGCCGGACCTCAACCAGGAGGAGGGAAGAGGAGAAGAGGACATAGATTTCATCAGAGTTGTTTTATATAGTGTTTTATCCTCCTCTTCCCTGCCAGAAAGATATGCCAGAAAGATGTGTCAGAAAACATGTCAGAATTTATCAGATCCATGGCAGACAGGTATGACATGGTATGACAGTATGACTTTGTGACGGTGGGGCCCATAGGGACCACTGTCCACCTAGGTTCCAGTTGGAGCAGGCTGAGCAGGCATGACTCCAACCATCTTTCGCAACATCCCATCCAAGTCCTGCAAAGAATAGTCACACTTTTCCATGAACAGCGCGCACAGGCGCTGCGTTGGCATGTCATCCTCCTGCGCTGATTCCTGGGAATCCCAAGGGAGCGGCACACCAGGCGCTGCACAGTGACCCTCGACGTTTAAGAAGTGCTTGAGGCAGTTGTGGATGGGCAAATGGAAGAGGCCCAAGGTTTGCACTACCTGAAGGAGTTCCTAGACCAACATCTCTGTTTAAGGGTTTGTCAGTTTGTCCAATAAGGGGGGTCCTGCTAACCAAAAAGATTGATGATCCTGTTCCGTGCTTGGCCTTGTTTGTTGAGGCCCATGCCCCATTCTTGCATACTCATTTCTGCTGGATTTTGCCATGGATACATGTGGGTGATCAAAATTGAAGACTCCCCCAAACAGGATCGTCAACAGTAAAAACTGCCCTAAATTTTGACCATCCAAGATATCCAAGGAACATGGGGGCATCCCTTGACTGCTTCCAGCATTCTGAACTCATGAGATGCCAAAGCTGGTGGTTCCTCGCGTTTGCTCGGCACCTGCGAGTTGATTCCCACGGTCTGGATTTATTTCAAGCGACCTCTAAATGTTATATAAGGGATTGACAGGGAAAAGGGAAAGTCATGGAAAGTCTACAGAAACTATGCCTTGTACCCTGTCGTCAAAAAATGGGGAGCTTCCTGGAACTTTCAAATTCAGGAAATGGAAAGATAGTCAGCAAAGTTGGAAACCTAGAAATCATCAGAAATACCTTCTGTCTTGTGGACTCCCACAAGTAAATGGATACTGGGAAAGAATGCGTAGGTAGATACAGAGGTCACAGACCTACCAACACTAGCTGTGAATCATCTGTCACCGCCAATTCCAGGGCGCTCCGGCCTTGTAAAACTTACCTACAAAGCGGCCAGGCAATTCCACCTCTCCACCTTTACCTGGGCGGGGCCGTCAACATTCACTTGGGATTCTCGACGCCATGATCTGACCGAAATCAATGGTCAGTGATGGTCAGTGGTTGGTGTCTAAATCTCGGCCGTGTAAAACCAGGTAGAACCCCTTTAGGAAGCGATGTTCGTTCCATTTGATAAGCAATTCGTTGATCTAAGTCATCACAATGGACTTCTAGGATCATTCCCCGGTTAGAAGCCCAGCAGGTGCCCAGCAGCAAATGCACTCCACAGCTACTGCAGAAACACCTTGCCCTCTGACCCGCAATGGCGAGATATCGAGATCATCGCGGCTGGAGAATGGTCGTGCTCTCACCATCGACATCTGTGACGGGATTACGATATCACAATGCGTCGGAGAAAGCTACATCTGAGCCAAACGGCTTTGGGTCCCGGGTTTTTGACATCTCTTCACTGCGGGATGTTTTCTGGGTGTCCCATGCTTGGTAAGTGAATGGAATAAGAGTGGACTGGTAGCCGCACAAACTCCAGGTAGACCAACACGGTTGACTCAGAAAGTGTTAAGATGCGGGTCGCGAATCTAACATCACACTGGACAATCGAAACCATCAATAACCATCAATTGTCTCAGGCAAAACCAATGGCAAATGGGTCATGTTCTGGGAAATTCTTGGGTTCCCTCAATAGCCATCCAAAGACATCCTTAAAGCATTGCTGGTCACAGCAAAAATAGGCCGTTTTCACCATTCGTGGTTACCCCCCATTCATCAGCATGAGAAATTCCGATGATTTTTTCCAAGGTCCTCCCATGTTTTAGGCAACCCCCAGATCCCCTATGTTCAATGGTTACTGTCAATGGATGTTTGACATATTTCATGGCTTAATCATCATTGCTTTCATGCCTAAATCATGCCACATCCTTAGAAGAATGTCAACCTGGATATTTTGGATATTTGTTCAACCCCAGGCTGTTTCATTAGGGGTGTACCAGAAAACGATTTGGGGGGTACATCCGGGTACCATGACAAAACGGACACCTCCTATGGATAGGATCCCATCCAATCTCATAAAAACACCATCAAATCACCACGAAATTGCTGTTTCTAGAGACATCTATACACATCTATAAACCATGTTTGGCATGTTTCCCCATCATTTTTTTTTCTAAACCATGGCAACCATGGACAGCCCACTGGCCTGGCTACAAGCAGTGGAGCAGTGGTCCATGCTCTCGCAGTTGAACTTGTCCGTGTGGCTACCTGGCCACGCTTAAGGGGCCACGAAAGGCAGCTGGAAAATGATGGGAAATGTGTGGAAACATGTTACGTAACATGTTCCGTAACATATTCCATCACCCATAGGATCCATGTATGCTATATATGGTGTGCCATGGATCCCATCAATATACCTCAGTCATGTTAGCATAATATACCAGCACCATGGATCCGTCATGGGTCATGTTAAACTGGAAGAGATTCCGCTTAAATGGGTGGATTAATCTTGAACTGAAAATGAATCTTCAGCAAACTCCAGGAGATGCCGATCCTGCGAACAGAGGAGCGGGGTCGCCCACTGCAACAATGGAAGTTCAAAAATGGGGGATGCGATGGGCCCTCATTCTGCCATTCAATAACGGAGGAAAATGATTGTGACCCATTTGGGATCTTGAAGTAATTTGAAGTACCTATTTTGAGACGAAATCACATTGAAAGTAGTGAGATCAAGATGAGAGTCAAGCCCCGCAGCATCTGGGATGGCGTTTGCTCGTTGAAGCTACTCTGGACAAGTCTTACTTTGCGGCCTCTCGGGTTTTTCCCGACCCCAAGCGTAGAAACTGAAACCTCTCTGAGCTGGTCTGAGATGCCATGTTTCCTCACAAAAAAAAAAACAACACGGGAACAGCCCCAACCACAAAAAAACAAGAGCGTTTTTCCCCACCTGCCAGGTGAGGGTTGTTAGATTTTATGTCAGTTGCCTCCTCCTCCTCCTGCTCCTCCTCCTGCTCCTCCTCCTGCTCCTCCTCCTGCTCCTCCTCCTCCTCTCCTCCTCCTCCTCGTCCTCCTCGTCGTCCTCGTCGTCCTCGTCGTCCTCGTCGTCCTTGCTCAACGGCGACCCGCGATCCACAGTGTTCTCTGCCGGACCTCAACCACGACCATCCACGCCCAGTGTGCCCTGCCGGACCTCAACCACGACCATCCACGCCCAGTGTTCCCTGCCGGACCTCAACCACGACCATCCTCGCCCAGTGTTCCCTGCCGGACCTAAACCACGACCATCCACGCCCAGTGTTCCCTGCCGGACCTCAACCGCGAGTATCCACGCCAAGTGTTCCCTGCCGGACCTCATGTAGGAAGATATGGGACAAAGAATGTGCAGAAGAAAGTTAGAAAGAATGTCAGAAAGAATGTCAGAAGATATGCCAGGAGATATGCCAGATAGAATGCCAAATAGAATGCCAGAAGATATGTCAAAATATATGCCAGAAGATATGCCAGATAGAATGCCAGATAATATGCCAGAAGATATGCCAGATAGAATGCCAGAAGATTTGCCAGATAGAATGCGAGAAAATATGCCAGAAGATATGCCAGATAGATATGTCAGAAGATATGCCAGAAGATATGCCAGAAGATATGCCAGAAGATATGTCAGAATATATGCCAGAAGATATGTCAGATAGAATGCCAGAAGATATGTCAGAATATATGCCAGAAAATATGCCAGATAGAATGCCAGATTGAATGCCAGAAGATATGTCAGATAGAATGCCAGAAGATATGAATGCCAGAAGATATGTCAGATAGAGTGCCAGAAGATATGCCAGATAGAATGCCAGAAGATTTGCCAGAAGATATGCCAGATCATATGCCAGAAGATATGCCAGATAGAATGCCAAATAGAATGTCAGAAGATATGTCAGATAGAATGCCAGAAGATTTGCCAGTAAGAAAATGTATAAATGTCATGGTGGGGATCACACGAAGTAAAGTAATTTCCCATAGTTTTTTGTATGTTTACCAGAGGGTATCATCCCCACAACGGCAACGTTGCCACGGCAGATCATCGCCCATCGCGCAGAATTTTCGCCAATTTTCAGCGCGTCTGCATGGCTCCCTTGACCACGTAGATGGTCTGTCCGCCTCAGGCCACCAGATCCTCCAGATCTGGGAGATCTGGGAGATCTGGGGTCAAACTAACCTGGTTGGTGGTTTTAACCATCTTAAAAAATATTAGTCAATGGGAAGGATGATCCCATATATTATAACTCCATGATATAACACCAATGATCATGGTTATTCCAAACACCTACATATACCATCTGGTTATGACTAACAGTTTGCCATGGAAAGATCCACCATGCTATTAATAGGTAATCCATCTATTTCGATTAGGGCCATCTATACCATGGCTATGTTAAACAACCAGAGGGTAGATCTGGCAAATGGATGAAAATGGATGAACTTATAATATGAATATGCTCCATTTATGAATCAGAAAAGCCAACCTCTATCCACCAAGAAGTTATCCAATTTCTGTGGCTCAATTTGTCGTTGTTTTTCCCAACGTTTTTTTTACCGAAAACCATCGACACGGCTGGGCCGATCGGGCCATCTTCGATCTTCTCGGCCACCTCTCGCAGCTGCTGACGGATGATGTAGTCGCTCAACTTGCACCTGGACAATTCGTGGATAGCAGTGATGTGGGTGGCAGTGATATGAATGTGGGGCCCCCAAATGATAGCAAAGTTGGTGAACATAACTCCAATAATTAACTATGGTTTATGATACTTATAACTATAGTTAATGGGATTTATAAACCAATCATTTTCTATAAATGGACAATTATAGTTAAGTTAATGGGATTTATAACTTGAATGGACAATCATTTTCTTGAAGTTCAGGACCCAACTTCAACACCATCGCAAGGATTGGGAGTTGGCGCATTCGCATTGAACCTTTCAATGTTTGTCATCAAACCTGGAAATGGATAACCCAAACCTGGCATGGAGGTTTATAGCTGGGAAATCATCTATAAACGTGGGATTTCCAATTGCTATCTTTGATTACCGGAGGCTATTTCATTTTGGAGTCTGGTCTGGATCTATTGTTAATGGGAATGATGTTCGAAAATCGTGAGATGTATAGTATAGCAACGATATCTGGCTGAATTTGAATATTTCACTGAAGACATCTGAAGACTATAATTATACAATATGGATGTTTCATAAAATGGGGGATCCCCAATACTAAGTCATGGTCGTGTCCGACTTGGATGATTTGGGGTACACCCAATTTTAGGACATCTCCATATAAAAGGGTAGTACCCTCTGGTAATTTAACATAGCTATTGAAAATGGTGATTTATAGTGGATCTTTCCATTGAAAATGGTGATTTCCCATAGCTATGTTAGTTTACCAGAGGGTATCTGGCAGATCATCCTACAGTAAGTGACATTGAATGCTTGGCGATGTGGTCACGCTGCGGGGGGAATCACCGGCAGCTGAATTTGTGGAAAAAGCGAGGAAACATCTCCTTGTGAAAGATAGAAGAATGTTGGAAAAACCATAGGAAAACCATAGGAAAACCATAGGAAAACCATAGGACAACTGGAAATTCATGGGATTTATGGCTGATTTATGACACACGGCACTCTCCCTGGAAGTTGATCCTGCACCGATGGTTGAAACATGTTGAACACCAAAAAACCCTCTGGTTATGACACACAACTCGCCAGGGATAGAAAAACACCATTTTATAGCTAGGTAAAGCATCTATTTCGATTAGGGCCATCTATACTATCCCATGGCAAACTGTGAATGTCATACCCATGGCAAACTGTTATATAGTCATAACCAGAGGGTATATACAACAAAAATAGGGTATGGCGAACATGTAAGAACCATAGAAATAGATGGTTTACCGTTCTTAATAGCATGGTGGATCTTTCCATGCCAAACTGTGAATGTCATAACCAGAGGGTATACCATCATATATCCTAGTTAATCCCATTAAATCACCATTAAACCACCATTAAACCACCATTAAATCACCATTAATTCCCATTAAATCACCATTAATTCCCATTAAATCACCATTAATTCCCATTAAATCACCATTAATTCCCATTAAATCACCATTAATTCCCATTAAATCACCATTAATTCCCATTAAATCACCATTAATTCCCATTAAATGGAATGTTTACCACCTACCAAGTGCAGGATTTCCCACCCATGGATCCCTCGATATCCTGTCGACTTGGCTCCGGGCTTCTCTCCATGAACGCGCTCGTACTCTTCCTTGGATTGGAAAAGGGCCCATTTCTAGATGAGTCAGCATGATTCACCTATGAAAAATGATGAT